CAAGGCTACATAAGGAGCAGCGAAGGCTATTCACAGTCAGTTGTACTGAATCAGTCAGTCAGTCCTGGAGCTACCTACGAGTCAGTCCTCGAGCTACCTCCGAGTTAGTTCCGAGTTAGCCAGCAACTAGTCAGTTGTATTGTGGCATTTGGAGTGTACTATTTGTGATACTGCAGATAGCAGTAATCATAAATCTGTAATTTGGGTGTTTGTAAGTGCGAATGTGAAATAAAATTCGCTACATCAAATACCTCGTGAAGTTATTTGTCGCGATATACGCCCGATACGCGACAATATTATTTTTTATTGCTAGTGGGGTGCGACTAAGTCCGTTGTACTGCGGCCATTTCTGGCCTATTGTACCACGCCTAGGTGATAGGCGAGGGTGATTGTGGAGCAATAGGTGGAATGAAGATTGACAAGGGAAACCGAAGTACTAGGAGAAAACCTGCCCCAGCGCCACTTTCTCCACCACAAATCCCACTTTATTGTATACGTTGGAGGACCCATTGTTAATCCATTTGTTTGTTTGGGATATTGTTGCTCAAACTGAAAATAATTATGTTCTGTTGCTGTTTTTAGTATATGCATTATATCTGTTTACTTGTTTCTGTCAATTTCTGAGTTACTATGTAGTATATTTGTTATTATGTTTCTTGTATCTAATTTTGGTGTACTTGTATACATATTCATTATATCAAATGAACACATTCTCATGCTTTCATTGAGTTCCATAGTCTGTAAGTCTGTAATTAAATTGCACTATGACAGACATAATGGATGTATAAAAACAGAGAAATGGAAAACGATTTGAACACATCAGAAAAATATCATATATATAAAATTAGTAGAGACAGATTACAAATGACCAACACATACATCATTGCTTATAACGCATTATTTGAAACACTAGAGCAGATAGCACACATACCTCAGTCCCCTATATAAAACAGAACCAGCTCCACAACATAATCATAACATCCACACTGCACACTAGATAGGCAACAGGCATACTGAAAAGTAAGTACACAGTTAACTGCATTAACAGTATACGAGGGGGAACCCAAAAATAACCGGAAACGACCTGTTGCGCCCGCATGCTTTGTAGTTATGAGTTGTGCTGCTAGGTGGTGTTAGCTGGGGGTCTCCCGCGACTGTTAGTGAGCTGGCATCAGCCTGAGTTAAGTGGTATGTCTGTGGTGCTCTCTTGTGTGCTTTCCTGTTTCAACCCTTTGGCGATTAGTGAGATGGCCGACCAGAAGGAACAATTCTTTTAAGAAATTCTGGATCGTTCTGCACTTCACTCTTCAAGTCGCGGCAAACACTCACGCGGTTTTCTCTTTGGTCATCTCCGATCAAGCGAGGAACAAATTTTGCAGACACGCATCTCATGTGCAAACCTTCGGTTAAAATTCGCTGGACCGTGCTCCATGAGATGTTCGTTTCCTCAGAAAGTTGGTCAATGGTAGTTCGACGATCTTCATCAATTGCACGTTTGAGTTTGGCAATGTTTTTGTCATATCTTCCTGTCGAAGGACGCCCGGGGCATGGCATGTCTTCTGTTGACATGTTGCCAGATTTGAAATGGGAAAACCACTCGTAGACCTGTGATTTCCCCAAAGCATCATCATTAAAGGCTTGCCGAAGCATCCCAACAGTCTCGGCTGCAGTTTTCCCTAACAGAAAGCAAAATTTCACACACACTCTTTGTTCCTTCTGGTCGGCCATCTCACTAACCGCCAAAAGGTTGAAACAGGAACGCACGCAACAGAGCACCACAGACAAACCACTTAACTCAGACTGACGCCAGCTCACTAACAGTCGCGGGAGACCCCCAGCTAACACCGCCTAGCAGCACAACTCGTAACTACAAAGCATGCGCGCGCAACAGGTCGTTTCTCGTTATTTTTGGGTCCCCCTTCATACAACTTAAATATGTTGCATGAAGAGAAAATACTAACACAATTTATCATTACCTACTACAGAGACAGTGCATGTGGCACAGAAGGAGGAACTACATTGACTTCATTTAGAAACATATAAATAGGAAAACATTGATCACAGTAGTGCAGAAGGCACAGCATTTCCCACCAATTTCGTGCAACTGAGGTTGGCTGAATAGGCTGAAACATGTACTGCAGTGACATTTTAAAAGGATTTAATTTTAAATTTTGACATTGTTGCACAGTGAATGGTAGACAGAACCAAAAATAAATTCTAATACCAATTGCAACAGGATGCTAAAATACAACATTCGTAGTTAAGTTCTACACTGTCTTCTTTAATATTTCCTTTCATGATATTTCCTTTGTGTTAAAGGAACAGTTTCCTTTTATTATACAGACTATGCCCACAGCCATCAAAACCAGTGTAAAGATAAAATAAAGTTGTCCCCGTACCTAATTAGTTAAGCATTATATCATGAATACATATTGGTATTCCTGATCTTGCGTATTAGATGTAGGTGAGTGGTCACCTTCATGCCCCTGCCACTTTACCCCCAGGGAAAGAATCACCTGGTATCCATCAGATAAGGGCTAGGTGGGCTCCAGATCTGGTATGGGTGCTGTGGAAAAGAGAAAAAAGTCTTGCACTGCCAGGAATTGCACCCAGGCCGTCCAGCCTATAGCCAATCACTACACCAACTGAGCTGTCCCAACTCCGCCATCAAAACTTACACTGTTAACAAATATGTGCTGGGTTTCTTCTTTTATTACCTGTTCAGAGTGTAAAATTCAAAGAAGTAACAGCTGAAATCTCATACAGTGTGCCTGAATGGAACTTAGTTCTGTGATGTTTGTCAGTACATCTGCAATGATTCTTCTCTGGACTAACAGCAGATTTTGATGAGTATCATATTTCAGTTTTGCTGAAATTATTGGTGTGTTATTTCCATCATTTCGTCAATCCCCTGTACATTAGGTCTAGTAACTGAATAAAACTCAGCAAAATTCAAAAGTTCATAAAGGTAATAATCTGTATCTACTTCAGCAGTGTGCCAAGATATTAAGGATGATTCCTGGATATGAGAGTTCTATTTGAAAGATTTTGATGCTGGTCGCAGACAACTCTAATGAATGTGGTATTATCTTTACAGAGTACTATGGAGGCACATCATCATTAAAGTCACTAAGCAAGGTGCCTCAAGTGGTAGCACATCTGACTTGTATCAGAAGCTGCCTGGTTAGAACATTAACTGGGACACCATTTGTCCTGACAGGTTTTTCTTTGTTCCTCCCAACTTCAGACATATACCAGGGTGATACATAAAATAAGGCCTTTACCATTTCTTTTGCATAATTGTTGATTCAGTATTCACTTTGATCTAGTCATTCGACAGTATACAGTCAGAGTTACTGAATGCATCAATAAATAAACTGCATATACAGAATTGTTAAGGTCAGTGTCTTTGTTTTTATGTTACTTTAACAATAATAATGGGACCCACCAGTTGGTTGTTAGCCATGAAGTGGTAAGCCCACAAACAGAGTTACCACATTTCTGATCACTGGATAAGTTCTATATACCCACCTTTTATCTAGCACTAATATTACTATTTTCATGCACACCAAACAGCAAGGAAGTGAATGTGTTAATCATACATATATATATATTTGTATGTGACTTAAAATTTTAAACTGAGATCACTTGTATCTGACTTTATTTAGGACTTTCCATCAGAACAAAATGACTTAGGTCTTCTGTTTCTGGAAGGTTAAATATTCGTTACATGATTTATTATATTTTAGAATTGAAGATATATTTGATGTTTATTCTCAGTTAGTAAAATTACTGTAACAGATGTCTTGGCGGAAGAAATGAAGCAGATGTGTTTGTACCTATCACACATTATTTTGCCACTGTTCTTGCTTTGCTGTTCTTAATTTGTACTTGTTCACAGGTCAATGTTGTAAATGCGTTGAGAAGTCTGATGAGTGTTGGCAGCAATGTGTGAGCAGACAGAGGTCCGTTACCTCGATGGTGACATCGTGTGGGTGAAATTGGGTTCTTGCTGGTGGCCTGGCCACGTGAAAGATGTTGATAAATTACCAGAGGAAATTCTTGTTAGCCTCAAGAAGAGGCCTATTGCAGCTGTGAAATTTTTTCAGGAAGAAACATTGTTAGTATTCATTCCTCATAGCTTCTTTACTATAATCTGAGGATAAACAAGTATAGGTGCAATAAATTAATCAATTTCATTTTTCTGTCTTTGAGACACCACCATTTATGTTGTGTATAGTAATACATCCTTGCCATGATGGGCCCTTTGATCTGTTCAAAAAGTTTTGGAACTTTTGAAGTAGCGCACCAACTCCGATGTCTTAGCAATGTTGGTTAAGTTGTGCTACCTAGTGGCATGCTTCCTAATTATCATCCTTTTTTTTTTGCCCCGTCATCCTGCTCTGATTAGTCATCTGCATAGATCTATTGTTCACATGCGTGTAGAATATTTCTTATGATATTCAAGGTGGCTGATATTCATGAGCATCGTATTAACATAAAATTTTGCTTCAAACTAGGGAAAACGTTTAGAGAGACTCATGAAATTATGAAATACTTTTATGGTGATCAAAACATGAGCTGTACATGTTGTTATGAATGGTTTAAGCAATTTAAGGATGGTCAGCAGTCAACACATGATGAGCCGCATTTGGGGTTGCCCTGAGCTTCATGTAACAAGGCTCATATTGCACAAGTTCATGAAATAGTACGTTCTAATTGTCATTTGACAGTGTGGGAAATAGAGGAGTGCAACATATTGATATTGTGTCATGACATTCGTATGACAAAATTAGAAATGCATCTGGTAGTTTCAAAGTTTGTCCTTCGACTTCTGACACAGGATCAGAGAGACAGTCGCGTTGTCATCTCTCAGGAACTTTTGGATTGCACTAGCAAGAATGAAAACTTTCTGAAAAGAATTTTAACTGGTGATGAAACATGGGTTTATGGATACAATGTGGAAATGAAAATGCAGTCTTCAGAGTGGGTTGAAAAAAAAATTTGCCAAGACTGAAAAGGTGCAACAGGTCAGAGCAAATGTGAAAGTCATGTTGACTGTTTTTTTTAACATCAGAGGTGTTGTGCATCATGAATTCCTACATCAGGGGTAAACAGTGAGTCACTGGTATTATCTCGTAGCGCTGAAACATCTAAGAGAAAATTTCAGGAGAAAGAGACCTCAGTTGTGAAGAAACATCTCCTGGTTCCTCCATCAGGACAATGTGCCAGCTCATACATTGCTACTGATTCGTGACTTTTTGGCCAACACAAATACAGCTGTGCTTCCTCAGCCATCCTACTCATCTGACTTGACTCCAGCAGACTTTCCTGTTTCCCAAACTGAAATCAACTTTGAAAAAACAATGATTTCAGACAATTCAAGAGTTTACAGAAAATTCGCAGACAGGGCTACTCACAATCCCAAAAAAGGCGTATCAGGATTATATCCAGAAGTGGCAATGGCATTGGGAGCAGTGCATCAATGCAGGAGGGAAGTACTTTGAAGGCGATAAGGCTCACTCAACTGTGGGCTTGTCTGAAAAAATTATAAAAAAAAATAGTTCTAAAACTTTTTGAACAGACCAATATTGGCTCATTTCACCAGTCACATAAAATCTATAATTAGACATTCCTGTACAAGTGAATTCAAACCTACTCATACCACTGTAATTTCTTTACACAAACCTGCTAAACATCACATAATATACAAAACTAACAAATCTGTTTAAGGGTTCTGATGATATGGTATTACACTCAGGTTTACCATGTTTCTGGACTTTGTCATACTCTAATATTCTGGAAGAACACGCTGTTCTTTTAGAATATTAGACAATGGATAAAATTCAGAAATATCTGCAGTCAAAAGGCTTATAAAATATTGTCCTTTTATTAAATAATGTGTCTTCAAGCTATCAGTACGTTCAGATTTGTTCTTGCGCATCTAAGGAAAGAACTTAAGTGTGGAAAAATATTAATAAAGGTATTCAAAGATATTTCAGCCTGATTACCTTGATTGTATACTCATCACTGACAAGCAGACGGTTAGGTTTGTTGAGCTGTGGTAATTAGCTTTATTTATGTCTTGCAGTTAATGAACATTAAGGTCAATGAGATGTGCTAAGTAGCACAGAAAGCATTTCAGGAATTTACTGGGGTTGGATAAAATAATGGAAACGCTACAGATACTGTACACATTTCTTTATTAATATGGTGTTGGACCACCCTTTGCCTTCAGTACAGTTGCAGTTCTTCTTGGAATGGACTCATACAAGTTTTGAACAGTCTCTTGCAGAATTTTATACCATTATTCTTGGAGAACATCTTCAAGTTGCTCTAGAGACATTGGAGATGGGAATCCGTTCCTCAGCCAACTCTCCAAAACTGACCACAGTGGTTTCGATGATGTTCATGTCTGGGTGATTGTGCTGACCATGGAAGATGTTGAGGTTCAACTTCATGCTCATCAAACCATGACTGAACAGTTCCAGCTGTGTGAATGGCTGTATTGTCGTCTTGGAAAACTGAATTGTTTGGAAATAACATCTGAATCGTGGGATGCACCATCACAAAAACGTGTGTTTCACTCTTGGAACCAGCCGTTCCAGATTGTAGGCTTCGTTGGGTGTTCTCAAAATGTAAACTCTTCTTCATGTAGGGAACAGCGTGAAGGATAACCCATCTAAGCATATTACACGTGCCTTTCCAGTTATCTGATGTCCATGTTTTATGGTCGTGACACCATTGTTTAATCATCTGAGCATTACTTCCAGTAATCAAAGGTTTAGCAGTTGCAGCCCTATCATAGATGCTGGATTTGTGAAGCTCACATCAGATGATTTTTGTGCAAACAGTCTTCAAGATGAATATTCAGTTCTGCTGTCTCCTGTGCTACAGTAGTTTTATGATATTTGGAAACAGTCCCTCTCAGTGAACAACAATTTCTTTCTGTCAGTGCTGATTTTTGCCCACTGTTCCTTCTCACTGATGTTGTTTGGTTGGTTTCCAATGGCTGCATTTGGGATCATTTAACCCATTTTGCTTCTTGCTTCCCAATAGAGAGCACTCAAGTTCTTGCTTTGTTGCATCTTGAAGAAGTTTGCACTTTTCTTTTGGGAAGCTTTGCAGGGTTTGTTGCTCATTTTGCACTACCCAAGGGAGATGTCTGACTTAAAGAATGTCACAGACGCGAGAAACTTTGTCCCCCTTCTCACCGATGTAATCTTCCCGTAATTCATGTATGCTGACATAACCTTAGAAACTGTCTCTCTTGACACACCTCTCGATGTGGCAGGTTTTGTGACAGGTTCTCCGGCTAAATATGCACTAACAATCTGTTCTCGTTCAAAATTGGACAAGTCTCCCATTTTCCAGTCCTCTCACATGCATTGTTATGCAGCACAATCGTTAATGCACTGAAATAAGCAATACAGAATGTGAACAACCGAAGAACATTTAATGTTGCCAGCTGAAGTTCTTTCAATGTAGCCAACAAAATTTGTTCCTCAATTGCTTATTGTTGCCATTAGTTTCTCCACCCCCTGTGTGTACACTATTGGGCATGTTATCCAGGAAACTTTGAACCAACAACTTTCTGGATTTTGGGATCCTAAATCCCCCCCCCCCAAATAACATGTAAATACAAGAATTAAAAACATTCATTGACATTTTCTTTTCCTAAAAAGTGCTTGAAGTTGAATAGTAAGAGCCAGAATTATCACTTTATCAGCAACACAGTCTTTAGTATTTTTAAACATGCCTTGCAAAATTAATTGTTTCGTGCATTTAAGCTTCTTTCCTGTGAAACCTGTCATATGTTATATATCAACATAATATGTTGCTCAATGATGAAACTTCTTTCTTCCAGTTCTTTAGTAAGTTTTTCTGTTAAAGTAATGCACTTGTCAGTTGAAATGCAGTCTTCTTCATCTGTCCCTTGGTTACTGTCATCATCAGCATCTACACCCTTATTAGGATCCATAATCATGTGAATTGTTTCCCTGCCTGTCTCTTGGAGAACAGCAGGAGCATCACTGTCTGCATTTAAACATTTCTGTATAACCTCTTCATTTAATTTAATTTAATGTCACATTTATAACAAATCACAAACTATTTGCTTTTAATGTGAAAAGCCTCTAAAATCAGCAGTGATGTGACCTTTTTTGTAGAATTTTGTAGAGAGAAGAAAAGAAAAGCAACTGAATGAAAAGGGAAGACCTTCTGGAGTTTGGGGTTCCGAATACAGGGTCCCATACTGGATTCAGTTTCAGTGCACTCTTCCACTTTGTTTTGTTGAGGCAGGAAATCGTTGATTGCTTATTAAAGTTTTATTTTTATCTTCATCATGACTGCATATAATGAAACACATTCATTAATTGATTCAGACAGTAACTGTACTGATTTATGTGGATTCCAGACAAATCTGTGATGTGCTTTGAAATAGACCATAATTACCGTCATCTACAATTCTTTCAACTTGCTGTCCATATGACTTATTATTTCATAGTGTGACTAGTGAATTTATTGTTAATTAAGCAATCTGTCAGTAATGTGAACCTCGTTAACTTTGTAGCTATTTGTCAAGAGTCCCAGTAGTGCTCAACCAATGTTTGGTATTTCCATTGAAGAAAAACTTCAGTGAAAATGTCTTATTGTAGACTTTATAGATTGCTTGTTGGTGGCACATTTATATATAAAACCACATTTATAAAAATAATTTTATGTTCTTTGCACCCTGTCATCTCATCCCTACTCTGCCTTCTGTCTGAACAAAATATAATCCCTTTTTATGTTTTTTGCTGCTGTTTTCTCTCTTCCCTCTTCCTCTTCTTCCATCCATTTTGTTACAAACATCTGATCTTATTGTGCAGCAACACTGATCAGTTCTGATTCATCTTCCTGCTCTGGGTCATCACTGATGAAAGTGGATTTACCACTGAAGCATGTAATAGTAACTTAAATAGTTCTATAAACTGAAAAACTTTATGACTAAGCATTGTAGCACTTTAATCAGTCCAGACATGGACATATCTTAAAGTGATATGATTACACCAGCATGCTAGTGAAAAGCTGCTGTAGTGAAAGTTGATATCAGAAGAACAGTAGAAATATAAATTATTTATTTTTCGTGATGCATATATGATAAGCAGTTATATTTAATCCACATCAAATTGGGAATCGGATTTAGGATTAAGCTTTGTTATCTGGCAATAGGGAGTGTTGGCTATGAGCCAGATTTTAACTCAGGGTAATGGTGTTAGTATTGAAAAAAATGTAATACTCATCCTGCTGGATCACATACATGTGCCATTACAATAATGTAATGTGTCACCATTGAAAGTTAAACATAGCTCTTTACCTTACAAGCAGAATTTTACAAAATTGAAATGCAGTCTCTACTGAAAAGAATTTTTTTTTGGCACAGCATAGCAGTTTTACAGAGGCACAAGTGTTGCTGCTGGGAGTGTTATGAGCTGTACTTCAGAGGTGTTTGAGAAAGGACAGTAATATTAAAGATAAAACTATTCTTTGGCTCAATTCATTAATTAAAGTGATAATGTGTGAGAGTGAATGTATGGTTCCACCATCCTTAACCTCAGAAATAGATGGAAGTGAGTTATCAACTTTATGCCCCTGACACTTAAATCCCACAAGGAAACAGCTCCCGATACACGCTGTATAGGAGTCTGGGTTGGCACCAGAGTTAGTCTCAACATTACTGAGAGAAGAGAAATCTCATGCCTCTGCCAGGAATCGAACCCTGAATCCTCAGTTGCCCAGCCCTTTGTTAGCCAGTTAAGTGTATATCTTCCATGTTCTTATCTATCCCTCAGTGGGACATTAAAATTACCCAGACATTAAATTTGTTACTGCAGCATTTAATTTTATAGTTGTTCGTCCCTTTTTAAAATTCAGTATCTCACCCATGTGTCATTATAAAATTACAAAACAAAAATCCTCTGAAAGATCAGATTTCATATATCTCTATTTTAATTTATATAGCCATCACATTAAAGTTCATATATTTTTTAAGTAAAACTCTGTACTTTTGACTTTATCTTCAAGAAGTACACCACTTTTGTCACTGACATGCATTTCAGTTCCCAGTATGTGATCACATAGGTATGTCTGACTCATCACTGTTTTGTATTTATATGACATATTCCACATCCTACAGTCATTTTGACTAACTTTGGATCCGTGGAATGCAATGCAATGTAAACTTGGCTTGCACATTGATAATCATTTAAACTGGAAAAACCATATTGATCAGTTGATTCCTAAGCTAAGTAGAGCATGTTATGCAGTTAGATTAATGTTACATATATGTAACATTGACACTCTCAAATCAGTCTATTTTGCTTACTTTCACTCTTTAATCAAGTATGGAATAATTTTCTGGGGTAATTCATGTGACAGTAAAAATGTATTTACATTGCAAAAGAAAACTGTTAGAATCATGATGGGTGTCAAATACCATAATTCCTGTAGAGATCTATTTAAGAGACTACAGATCTTAACTTTGCCTTGTGAATATATATATTCATTAATAAACTTCATTACAAATAACGAAGAACATTGTCAGACGAATGTGGATGTACACAGCGTTAACACAAGACACAAACATTGTCTTCATAAACCAATTGCTAATCTCTCATGCTTTCAGAAAAGCCATATTATGCTGGGATCAACATTCTTAATAACCTGCCATCTGATCTTATGAATGAAAAGGCATGATTTAAAATAGCACTGAAACGATACTTAAATACACATTCATTCTACTCTGTTGATGAATACCTAGTGTCTAGAAAATAACTTATGTATCTTTAAATAGCCTTGTGTGTAGTCACTGTATATTCTTGGTTTCTCTTGTGTGAGAACTCCATTGGGACTATACATATGTTTTGTATTTATGTGACATAATCCACATCATACAGTCATTTTGACTAACTTTGGATCCATGGAATGCAATGCAATGTAATGTAATGTAAAAAAAATCGCAATCACCATATGCAGCCCTGTCTGGCATCTGTTTTTTAGAAATGAAAGAATTATAGACGCTGACTGACAAAACCACCTCCAACCTTAACACACATTTTTAATTAATGTGGCATTTCATTATTACCTACTACAGCTCTGGCTGCCTCATTAATAACAAACATTTCTTATTGCTGTGTGTGCTGAATTTGTACTTCTTTGCAAGTTCAAAGTTACTGTGCAACAAAAGCTATTTCTTCTTCCAAACAATAACTGCATAATCTCTGTCTTCTGGAAACTATGAAATCATCACTAAAAGGATTATACCACTTGAAACACTGTTGCAACTGTAGTGGCACATACTGCGAAAGTGTATTTTTCAGTACCATGCCATAATACACTTTCTAATCACAGAAATCTTACCTTCAGACATTTCTTACCCACTTGTTGAATGTTGATCCCCTGTCATGCCTCTAGAAGTTGGCTAACATTTGAAACAAGGTGTATCACACAGGGCCACGCAATAGTTTTTGCAATTATACCTTGTTTCACAACGTTGATGCCTTTCGTAGCACATAACACACCTTCCTGTTACACTCTGAAGTAACTAGAAGATTGGCAAGTACAGCGTTCAAATTTTCATTGCTGACTGTCATTACATTAAAACCTTGTAATTGGAAACATGTATGATATGTAGGGACGTCATATCCACTATGATACATAGTAGTGCATGTCATGTTAAGGCATCATACCCACTTAACTGGTTATAAGGGGAAAATTTTAGTAATGTTAATTGAATTGGACTGGCTGAAGACATGGTCCATTGTGGCCACTGTTTTGCTAATATTGGAGCCTCTATTAATGGAGTCTGAGGGAAAGGGGTGAGTGGCATATTTGTAATTGGAACTTAATTTTTCAACCTTCAGCATTATTAAGTGACAGTGGACAATGCAGCATACAGAGGAACCCCAATTTAATATTTCTCTTGTTTACCATCACATTTCAGTTATTCCCCTTTTAAGATTTTCCAAAATTTAGTATTCAAATCCGGTCATCCCCAAAGAAACCTTAAACAACAGTTTTACTGTAATCAGTTGACAATGAACAACATTTACATGAGAGACGTTCAGAAAATTCTTTTGGTCACCTAGAGGTGTTATGACAGGAAAACCACGGAAGTTATTCTAAGGTGGACATACGACTTGCATGGGAGAGGAAAGAAATGTATATGTAACAGGTTTCTGGAAGACTGGGAAGGAAATGGAAGGACAACATGGAGATGTTCCTTTGGGTAATTGAGTGTGAAGCGGGGTAGTGACTGAAACTGAATTGGAATTATGTTCAGTTGAAGAAATGTGATACTAGCTGTGTTACATTTTAAGGTTATATTGGCAAGGAAATTAATCACATCACATTGTAGATGGTACCCATAATATTAACTTTAGTTGTGTTTGAAAACATCCCTCCATTACATGTTTTATTGATTTGGTACCTACTTACAGGTTGTCAGTTTATTCAGTATTTTCTTGTTTTGTGGTGTATGTTATGGTTATTTTTTTCTCCCCAACAGTGAATATGTGAGGAATCTGAATCAAATCTGCATGTACAACTGTCGGAGAAAGAATGAGTTCATCAAAAAAGGTCTTGGTAAGTTTAATTGCTGATAATGTAGTGCACAACATTACTCCTAATGTGTGCATGCCATTCTAATAACCGGTGATAAAAGTCTGTGATGATCTGGCCATTTGAAATATGGCAGTTCATTAATTCCCTTGTTTTGATGAAACATATTGTGGAATGCACATTTGTTAATTCTTAGCAATATCATTTTATATGAGTCATATTCAGGCCTTTTCAGTTCTTAAAGAAATGGTACGTTATCATACTTTGAGAGTGAGATTGTTGTCACAGATTGTATATATTTTTATACACTAATAAAGTTATGCAGGTATACCTGAGGTTCTTCTCTATGTTTATTGTTGGTTGACATGTGCAGCCTGAAAAATCAGAGCTCCAGTGCCTGTAATTCAATTTGTTACAGCATTCAACGAACAGTATAGCAAAGGTTCTCATTGTGCGCAAGCTAAGAAAATATGATTTTGTCACAATGTGTGCAGCTGATTTAGACCAATATCAGTTACTAGCATTTGCCGTAATACAGATTCCTTGCTTTCCAGTTTTAGGGTGGCAGGAGTTGTGTAGTTTCACCCTCTGGTTTCCTTCTTCTCCTGCCGTCCATTGCAACACAGCTGTTGCATAAATTGAGGAGTACCAGTATTATACCAACTGTTCAGTGAAGGGCTCTGAGAGAGGATGTCATATATATATATATATATATATATGTGTACATACACACACATTCGTTACGCCTCGACAAATAATTGAATTCAGAGATACCAAATATGGTGCTGGAGAAGGATGGAGAAGATCAGTTGGACTGATTATGGGAGGAATGAAGAAGTGTTATTTAGAGTTAGTGAGTAGAGGAATATCCTACACGAAATAAGAGAAAGATAGAGGGGCGGATAGAAGTGACCAGAAGACGAAGAAGATGTAGGAAGATGCTGGGTGACTTTGGGGATAGAAGAGGATATTCTCATTTGAAGGAGAAAGCTCTAGATCGCATTAAGTGGATAAACTGTTTTGAAAGAGACTGTGGACCTGTCCTCTGACAGATTACTAATGAATGAATAAAAGTGTTACCATGAAAAAAAAATGGACACACAGCAAGTGTTGGAACTCTGCGGAAAGAATTGAAGGCCGAGAAGGACAAAATGGAGGCCAATAGAAAAAAAGACAAAGGGAAAATTACAGAGAGCAGAAGTGTCCCTCTGTGCGCAAACAACATAACTCCAGGAAGACGTAACAAAAAACTACAATGAAACCTGCGCAGCAATTGAGGAGACCAAACACAAGTTCCAAGCCTGTTTGGATGAGACGAGACGAGGCAGACGAGGGCCGAAAGGGGAAACACATCAACTGTCATTGCAAGCACAGCTCAGCCACCGACATTCAACGGAAATTCAATGTGGAGCGTGTTCCGGCGACAATTCGATACTGTAGCAGAACACAACCAATGGACAGACAGGGAAAAATCAACATACCTGATCACCGCTCTGAAGGGCCGGGCGGCAGAAGTGCTACCTGGTATTCCGACAGATACAACTTATGAGGAAACACTTCAGGCACTAGAGGACCATTTCAGGGACCAACACTTTGCAGCTGCTTATCACTGCCAATTAACCCGTTGCCGTGGTTCGACGTGTATGTTTCGTCAGGGATTTAAATCGTCTGGGGGGGTTCGACGTGTATGTTTCGTCCAGCTGCACACGTATGTTATAACGCCCATAATAATTGATGGTTTTGCTGTAGATTGTTAGATTTTTCACTGGCCTGTTGTCAGGAGGACTGTATTTAATGACACACGCGTTTAAGAGCGCTAAGTCGTCGTTACATATGCCTGTCTTGCAGCAACGTTCCTGTGGCTATTGCGAGCTGTTTCTGTTATGAATGATGTGTTTT